GATATGCGGGCATCCTAGTAAAACATCTGGCATCGAATCTCCATACGGATTGCTTGGGCGATCCTGGCAATCTTAATATTGTTTTTAAAACATTATTATTCAGAATTACCTTTTATTTGTTTTGATTCTGATGTAATCACAGTTCAGAATGACTGTGTGAGTCTTAGTATTCGCGGCGGGATAATTGTGTATTCAAAGTTCGTGAGCCGTGTTCTGCGTATTCAATTGTCAGGTGCTAGTTATTTCTTTTTATAATCCAGTACAGTTACCGGAATTGACTCATTTTGCGTTTTAGATGGCTGAATTTCCACTGGAACCAAGTTTAGCAAAACTTCTCATTATGTCTGTGGATTTGTGTTGCTCCGATGAAGTTCTTACAATTGTTTCAATGCTTTCTGTGCAGAATGTTTTCTACAGGCCTAAGGTAAATTTTTTATAAGCTCTTTCTTAGAAGTGATGCTTTTGCATAATTCACGTATGCCTGCATGCCTTGTTGGAATTATGCGTCACGCCATTGTATTTTCTTTTTAGCATTGTTTATTTGTTTCAAGAAATATATGTAATCTAGGATAAGCAAGAAATAGCGGACCAGAAGAAGGCGAAATTTCACCAACCCGAAGGCGATCACTTAACATTGCTCGCGGTCTATAATTCCTGGAAACATCATCATTTCTCGCAACCATGGTGCTATGAAAATTTTGTTCAAGTCCGAACACTCAAAAGAGCGCAGGTAAAAAGAATTTTTGAGATAAATTTTTGGCTTCCATATCCACTCTCTTTCTCTGTGCTGAAGTCTTAAATGTATTTTCCGAAATATGATGTTTGCTTTTTTGTCGATTGTTTTAATCGTAGGGTTTTTCGGGTTTTGCGCTTTGCGGTTTAAAAAACACCTGATGCTACTGCTATGAGTTTTTACAGGACATTCGAAAACAGCTGCTAAGTATTATGGATCGGCACAAACTGAATACAATAAGCTGCGGGCGCGATGTGCAGCGCGTACAAAAAGCTATCTGCTCTGGATTTTTCCGAAACGCAGCAAAGCGAGATCCACAGGTTTTTCGTTGCAATTTTTTGACGGATCGAATATACCTAGGCCAAAAATGATGGCAACGAGAGATTCAGTCGTGGTTGACCAGAGTAGAGAGCTGCTGCTAAATTTTGAAAATGGTATTTAAAAATATACTTGGGAAAGTGAGCAGATAAAGATTGTAATAAGGATCGCGATCAGTCGTTAATGCGTTTATTAATTACAGGAAGGGTATCGGACGATTGTGGATGGCCAGAATGTTTATATTCACCCTTCGAGTGCACTCTTCCAAAATCAGCCTGAATGGGTTGTTTATCATGAACTTGTCATGACAACGAAAGAATACATGCGCGAGGTAAATTTTTTTAACGAAATTGCTGGTCCTGAAATGACGGGCTTGATGTTCAGTTAACTGTCACTCTTGATCCGCTGGTCGGGATTTGCCGGTGAAAAAAAATAATCTTAACAGTATTCATTCCAACGGTAAATTGATACTGGCTTATTAGCATTCATGGAAATTGAATGATATTCAACTTGCTTTCAAATAGCCCGCTGAAAAGGTATCAGCGCCATATTTGCCAGCAAGCGGCTAACTTTGGCAAAATGCCATTTCCTGGGTCACTGTCTTTCACTGAGAAATTGTAGAAAGAACGAGGAGGAAAGATGATTGCACTTGCCCGCTTTTACCACATAGTTCGCTAAACTTAATGCTCCTATGCATTTGTGACAGTTTTATAAGTTTTATAAGCTCAGCACACGGTTAATGAAGTCACGATTGTTCTAGGTGATTGCCATTGAGCCGAAATGGTTGGTGGAATTTGCGCCTTCATTCTTTAAAATGGGTGATAATACAAAGCTGTCGGCATTCAAGAAGAACCAGACAATCAATCCATTATACAACAAATATGAAGATCCGAATGCCTGGCGTATCACACGGCTCAAGAAGAAGATTTATAATCCAAACCGATAATCTGCTCCTTCAGCAGTGG